GTGAAATGAATATGAATGAAGAAGTTATTACCCCTGGCGACCAGTGTTAAACTAAGATCAGATCAGACGTCAAATTCCCTGCAATTTGATCATGTTCTGCACTGTTTGCCATTCAATCAGTATAAATTTTGAAATGTTTCCCTTAAATAATGAATGGTTTAGTCCAGATTAAAAGGTGGACAAGTCCATTTAAGATAAAATAGTGTGATATACTAAAAATAGGTAAAACAAGTTCTCTTGAATGATCTGATTGCTAAAATAACATTTGATTCAATTAATCTATAGTGTAAATTTACAAGATTGACATTGAATATTGAAAGCTATATAATAATAGATCAAGTTTGAATGAAAGCATTCAAGTATAAAAAGTAAGTCAAAGAAGGACTGAAAATATTCAGTGTGTATGAATTTGGGGTAAAAAAGATAATCCTTTCAATATATTTCACCAATTTTCATTGTTGGTCAGGGACAAAAAGTGCATGACCAAGGAACAAGTGTGTTTTTTTTCCATTATTAAATGCACTAATGTTTTTTTGCAAATATTAATGTATGTCTATTATTTAACAACTTAAATCAACAACAGAAATGATATTGTAAGATTTGCTGTATATATCAGGGGCATTTATATATCCTGTATGTTTATGTTCTTATGAAGCTGATCCAAAGACTTGTTGTAACATATTGACACGTTAGTGCAGTAATAGGTTAACTCCTATTAAATTTAAAAGAGAGTTAACACGTTACTGAGTTAAGGTTACGATACACCCTCTCCAAATCTTTCCTATATACAAGTTACCAATAATGTAACCATGGTAATATTTTAAACTTATTAACATTCCTTTGTTAATTTAAAGATTTTTTTTTCGTAATTATGAATGGGTGGTTTAAATATGTCATTATTTTTTGCTAGAGTTCATAGAATTAAAAAGTGCATTCCAGTTAATGTAAGTTTGCTATGTGCTTTAACATTGTACTATTTATTTATTAAAATTTTATGTTGTGTGTTAGGTATTTTGTTTAAAGATAGATATACTATGCTCAAATTTGATATTAGAAAATATTGATAATTGCTACGCAGTCTCTTTGTAAATGAAAAATAAACATGTTTTGACTTCACAAAAGTGGTTATGTTATGTTTAAAATTTTATACACTATAGGTGGTCACAATATAAATCGATATAGTGTCATTAAAAAAAATGTCTTTTTCTTTAAAGAAAATACCAACATTACTTGAGCTGTAATAGGGAATGCAGCTTCCCTGACATAGTTTATTCATTCTTTTATTCAAATCAGACATATTCAATAAGAATTTCATAAATTTCAATAAATTTCTGTGATTTAAATATTCAACTCAAGGATGAACATAGTATATCTTTCTGTTTTATTATGTCTAGTATAATTATGTGTAGGATAGCTAAAAAGAAGAACAATGCAAATATTTCTATGAGACTAGATATCTGTTCTAACTCAGTGACTTGTAGATCATGTAAGTTTACAGATTGTAAATGCACATGTCATGTAGAATTGAAAATCATGTTGTAACATTCTTTGCTTTTATACTTGTTAAATAGGTCATAATTTTTTCATAATTTTTTTTTCTTATGTAAGAAACATTTTCAAAGGCTTAATCACTGTTCATTATTTATTCCTTTGACTACAAGTGGTTCTGTTTGGAATTGTGTACCTATGGCTATTATTCATGGAGTAATTGTTGACTGTATTATGGACTAAAGTCTTTAAACGTAAAACAATTGTGTAGCTTTTTATTGAAACGCTGTTCACTGTAAACTACACAAATTAAATAATCAGTAGTGAACAATATAAATTTGTATCACTAATAGTGCTTTAGTCATGAAAGTCTAGAGTTCCTTCCCCTTACTTTACTTTCCGTATGTAGGCAGGGAACCAGACTGTTGTCATGACTACATACACAGACTAGTTCGGAACTACTAGTGCAGCCCCAATTTAAAGTTATGTCTCCCAAAAATTACTGTAGACATATTGTTTTTGCCTTCACTGTCTGTCCGTCCGTCCGTCCAGTTGTCCCCATTATACTTGTACAGCTTTCACAGGTCAAACTACTGGTGGGATTTTAATCAAACTTAACAGGAGTGATCAGTACTATCCCTAGTTGTGCACATCGCCGGCACGTTCTGCTTTGCTGCAAAAAATGGCCGCCACAGCTAGAAATAGAAAAGTCTTGTCCAGCTATCACAGGTCAAACTGCTAGTGGGATTTCAGTGAAACTTTATGTGTGATCATTACCATCCCTAGTTGTGCACTGCGACGGTATGTTCTGTTTCGCTGAACAAGATAGCTGCCAATGCTAAAAATAGAAAAATCCTGTACAGCTATCACAGGTTAAACTGTTGGTGGGATTTCTACCAAAATTCACAGGAGTGACCACAGGGAGACAAAAACCCATCTAGTTTATAATGAATTTGTTTTATTTTATTACCACCAATGCTTTAATAAATTATTTTGCTATCAGAGGAAATGCTCGTATTTTGTTATTTTTTTTGCCATTTGAATTTTATTTCCTGTCAATTAAATGTTTACTACAATTAATATTCTGTAAATAGAGGATATTGAATGAGTGTAAGTTCAATACTGAATTTATTGAACAAGTTGAATAAATTTATTTTATGCGAGCCTTTGGCGAGCATGATATTATTTTATTCAATGAGTTCAATAATGAACTTACATGAATTTAATATTCTATTTATCACATACCAAAAATAAAGACTGTTTACAGTGAAAAAGTGTCAGTTTTCATTGACGCGCCTTAAGTAAAATGCTAACATTTACCGCTTCTTAAAGCTATGTTTGTATAACGCAAATGCCGTCACGTCAAAATATATGCAGTGCAATACCATATTTACGGAGTGGCAAAATCAGCATGGGTATGTGATGAATACATTTAGTATGTCTGCAATGAATTCATTAAATCCCTGCAACCATTATACAAAATGTACATTTAAGTTTCAATTTACTTTAGAACAATTCCATAATTCATTACATTAGTGCAATAGCTCTGATTTACTCTTATTAAATTTAGAAGGACTTATTATTCGATTACTCCACTAAGGTGACACATTGTGTATGTTTAAACTACAAAAGATATTATGAAAATATCTCATTGTTGAAGGATTACCCTTAGGAAATTTATCTCGGAGATTACAATTAATATTCTGTAAATACATGTAGCAACTGTCTGCAATGAATTTAATACATTCCTGCCTGGTGTCAGTGCGCATAAGGAAGCATGCTTCTAACCATTTCCTGCCATATTTTAAAAGATCAGTCAATTTCTGACACAACTGTAAGAAACGGAATATTTTAAGTTCGGCTATAGGGAGTGTATTGTGAACTGTCCTACTTATCTAGCGTCAGCAACTGCGTCCAGATTTCTGATTAAAGTTTTTACGCATTAAAATCTTCTTCACTGCAAGTTCTTAATGTATTAACTTCAAATAAATACATATGTTTCTGATCATCAATCATGTCATAAATTATGTGACACAAGGTTTCACAACTCTAGCACAAAAATATGCTACATTTATATGGAATCTGTGTCACTAGTAAAAAAAAAAGTTTAATGAATATAACTGTAACTGTGCACAGGAAATAAAGATTTTTTAGGTAGCCAGGTTGAGGAATATCACTGGTACTTTCTGACATGAGGACACTACTATTTACAACTTTCTGGCATGACTTGGTCACTTGATAGAACTTTGGTATTACTCAGGTTTGAACTTTCTAGCAGGAGTTGGACCATGATTAGAACTGTCTGGCGTAAGTTGTCATTGATGAAACTTTCTGGCAGAAGTGGTCATTGATAAGTACATTCTGGCATAACCTAGGCACTTGATCATTGATAAGAATTTTCATGCATGAATGGGTCACAGATGAATGGGTCACAGATTACAGCTCTCTTACATGAATTTCTGTTGGCCATGTAAGTGATATGTCGTTCGTACGAATTAAATAATGAAATTTAAAGGAATTATAGCAAAATGTAAAAATATTTTGACTTTCACCTGTTCACTAACTATATACCCTTGGATGGGCATCATGTAACTTTAGGCATATTCTTCTCCTAAAGGCAGATACATATGGAGAAGATATTGATGACTTGTGTCAATTTTAGAAGCAGTTTTTAGAAATGGTATCTTATTTCAGAAAGAAAAATAAAATGAAAGCTTTAACAATTAGCTATGCTATTAATGTTTAGCTTGCTGTTGAAACTGCATAATTTATGTGTGTTTGACTTTCAATTTGTAAAATGTACATGTAAAATATTGATTTACAGGTGTCTATAACTTTTATTTTGCTTTATTTGTGAAATGAGTTTGTCTTGATATGAATGGCCGTCATTAATTTACGAGACTTTGATGTAGTGTAAAGATAAGCCCAATGTCAACATATGGTAAATTAGAAATGTCATTTCTCATTGATAAACACAGCTGACTTGCAAACAGTTTAAACATCTACTTGTGTATTTTAGATGTCAAGTCAATACATTTCACACTGTTTTTAAAGATGAATTTCAGACAAAGGGAGATAATTCAAAAAACCAGAAACACATTAAGAGTTCTTAAACAAGTGTACTTGAAGTATTTGAAGTATATAGATCTCCCAAGTCAATTCATTGTACAGTTTCAATTCTTAGTTGTAAATAATGTTCTTAAAATTAAACAAAATCAATACATTTGTATAAATGTGTTCAGGCACAGTTGTGTTTCTTGACAAAATAGTTCTTGTTTCTTTTTATCTATATTTCATATTTCAAGTCAATCTTAAATACCCTCCAATTTATGCTTCTGACAAGGAGGTTTCCATGAAGTGGGATAATCCAAAACTTGGGACCTAAAATGTACAAAACATTCCCACAGATTGATGCATAACTAACGAGGTAACCCATGTATACCCCCTTCAAATTTTGTTTTGGAATCTTAGGTTGTAATAAATGAAAAATTACAAAAAAAGAACAGAAGAAGTCAATTTCTATAAAAAGTTTAATACAAGTAAAATATGCAACACTTAGACAAATTTTTATTAAACTAGTTTTTATCAAAAAATTGCATCAAAGTCTGCACACATTACATGTCGAGGGTTGACTGCAAAACTGTTGTAAGTCCTTATTTATGTTATATAAGTTATTGCAGTTTTGCAGTCAACCCTCGATGTATATACATGATATACATTTAAAATACTGAAAATATATTCTATACTGGAGTCTGTACATTGTCTAATACAGGACTTTTAATAAACCTTTTATGCTAGCAAAACTCCCTTTGCCTACAATACATTCATGCATATATTATTATGCAAACATCTTAGAAGTCAAACTTCAAAATTTCTAAGAAAGGAGACTTGGTCATAGAAAAAATTCTAATACAATCAAAAACCATGATATAGTTTTAAGTATGCTTTGTCACTTGGGGTTTTCACTAGGTTTTCACTAGGTATAATTTTGCAACAATTTTTGAGAAAACAAAACAAAAAATGTCAGGCTAGGTCAAAATTACTGAAAAAATCAAGCAGTGCCCTTCTATAATCGACACGACATTACATTTATTACATGTTTTACCATGTATTTTGATAATAAATTCTATTAAAAGTTATAAATAATAGCATATGTATTATAACTGGTTACAGGAAGGGTCAACTGTACAAATTCTTTCAACATATGTAAAATCATAAAATCAGTTCTGCTTTGCTTGGTTAGCATATAGAAAAGTTATAAAATCTCAAACAGATATGACTAATTGTATTGCTTGGTTTCAACAGGTTTGACTGTACTTCACTATTCGCAATAAATAACTATCAAGTATGCTGATAAAATTTCCACCCTCTATAAATATTATTAGTTATAAAGATTTTTGACAGGTTATATGGCCCGATATAAATGGTTATCTGTATATAAATATATCCCAAGCTGCTACGGCAGGGTTATATTGCAAACAGCTGTTTATATACAGCCATATAACCTGTCAAAAATCTTTATAACAAATTTATAATACAGCAAATTTCCTTTTTACAGGAACAATATATGATTTCTTCATAAATTGACAGCAGCCGTGTATATCAAACTATATAGACCTCATGATTATCCAACAAAAAGAAACGTTACAAACACACAGTATTATATAGATATGTTTCTCATTCCTTTTAACTTTCAGTGTTTATAGTATCACATAACTAAAATCATTTTGAAAGCAGAATAGAAACTCAGAAAAAATTTCTATGAATGAGCTATGGGTGTTTTAATCTCGCACAGGAAGACTTAAATGTGATTTACTATGAAAGTCTATTTAAGCTCGGTGTCCCCAAGAGTGAAACTATGGGAACAAGATATTATTTTCCTGCTGTATGACAACACGTATATGGTGATGTTTGGTCTGGCACACTGTGAATTGTTAAAACAGTAACAGATTACAACCACTCTATCTAGCTACACATCCACGTCCTGCATCACGTCTCATCTGGCTCATTTATAAAGGGAGGTAAATCTTCTTCACGCATTAAATGTCCTGGAATAGATTCAATAATAATAACATGACACTTTCCTGACGTTATTAGTATGAAATGTTACATACAGAGTAGAAATCAAGATACTATAAGTCTGTGTAAATATACATGTAAAACATGGCATGTAACACTGGATAAATACTATTATTCTGAGTATATATAGCCAGTGCTAGTATTACTACATAAATATTCATCCTCAAAGATTTTGACAGGAATTAGGCACATATAAACATTTAAATCTATCTGAAGTTGGTCAATCTATTCTAACAGGTGCTAATTGAAGCACTGTCATAGTTTACCTCCATAGTGCATACGACCCTCATGCTAATCCTGATTATACCTTTGGATAGCATTTACTGCGAATTCACTTAAATTCGTGGGCATGAAATTTCGTGGTTTTATCAAAAAGGGCATTTTCGTGGGTTCTTAAATTCGTGGATTTTCGTTTTCTTGTTAAAAAAAATCAGTAACCTAATGCAAAATAATCTTAAACTTAATCGCCGAACATTTTTACTTACAACATGTACATATCTTTACTTGTCACACAGCGCTTGTCAATAAATTTAATCCTTGCCTCTGGGCATAACTAATATAGCACAGTTACTGCCGATAATTGACTACAATTAACACATTTATGTGACATGATATACACACTGCCCCTGTAATTCGACGATGTAAACATCGCATAATTTATACGACACGTGACAGGTTTTAACCTGTTACACCTTGAATTGGTCTAACATATTGACAGTAACTACACGCAACGTCACAGCGACTGTGTAAATTTACATGCATATAAATTAATCTCGGTAAATAACACGAGTATGTGTGGATCTTTTATACCTTGTAAAAGTCGGTGGCGTCTTTGATGTTGACGGAATAGCTTTCGCACAAATACAGATTAAAATTTATATAAACTGGATCATTTAAAACGACAAAAGAATGTACAATAAATCTGTTTTAGCGATCGTATTTTTTTATAGTTTTGTGTACTTACGACATTTATATCAAAGACTTTTTTTAATAAATAAGAGCAAACTGACAATTTTTATTAGCGCTAGTTATTGCACTGCCTGGGTTCCCATATTTACTTGATTATGTTAAGTATTCTTGTTGACACAATCAAGTCCTAGTAGACTACAACGATCAAGTATGTATATGCGACATTTGTGACAGTAAATTGAGGACATATAATCGAGTTTTCTTTCAAGTTTCTTAGATATTGTAAACGGATTTAATATGTCACTAACCTGATTATCTGTCTGTATATACATCCATTTCACAAAATATCGGCCGGAAAAGAGCCGACGCATGTTTGTAATATATAAAACAAAGACTGGGTAAGAAGTATTTGTTGGGATAAAAGTTCGTGGGATCTTAAATTCGTGGATTGACCTACCCACGAAAACCACGAAAATTCGTGCCCCACGAATAAAAATGATTTTACAGTATACAAGAATAAAAATAAGGCAAGATGCACTTTAATATGCATTTGATATAGATATTATAGAAACAGCGGTTTTTTCTCTACTTTGGGAATGGTGCAGGTACTAGACTGATTGTGGAAAAATGCGTTATTTTTACTTAAATTTGGAATTTTTATTATGCATTTATTTAGCTACAAATAACATTAGTCATCATGAATAAAGACAGCTTACAGCTTCTATTGTCAAGTTAGAACTATTGAGTGGTGATTTATATCAAAATGTTGGATTTAAATGATTTCAGAGAAAAAATCTCTTGGCCTTGTGGGAATTTTGCACAGCCATTTTGGGGATTTGAACATTGGAAATCGGGAATTTTAATGTCTTTTTTCTATTGGGTGCCTTTACAGTGCCTTTCGGGTAGTAGTTATATAAAGAACTAGAAATGTGTTGTCACAGAAACTGAAAATTTCATATTAGTTTCAAAGTAAAAGGGGCATAACTATGCCAAAAATCATCAACCATAACCAAATACGAACTTGACCTGCCCATTCCTTTGAAGTATCTATATGAGTTGAATGTGTACAACTGTTGGGTAGATAATGAACAGAAAATGAAAATTTCATCAAGGGGCATAACTGTCAAAAATCATCAGACCATGACCAAATTAAAACTTGACCTGTATTTTCTCATATTATATCCATATGTAAAATTTGAGTTGAATATGTGCAACTGTTACTAAGATAATGAACGGAAACTGATCATAACAGAATGACGGAACAGGGTAACACTATATGCCCCAGCCATTTTATGGCAGGGGCATAAAAATTAACCGAGAAGTGTGGCTAAATTGATAAGATTGGATCCAATAAAGATTTCATTTAGAACATCACATGGTTTTAACACTTAAGTTTCTTTGACTATAATTAATATAAAGTGTGAAATAATAAAAAGATACAAACTTTGTTGTGGTATTCTAACTTTCTCCATGTCATCTACAGTTGTATGATGAATCGTCTTCCTAAACTTGTATTTTATATACAACTTCTTCTCTTCTCCTATACATGGGTCATAGAATCCTGGGATATCACTCTATAAATAGTAACAGTATAGCATAATTAAAACATAGAAACCACACTTAATACTCAGAATAGCAACAATATAGAATTCATAATACAAAGAAAACATAAATAGAAACAATATAGCATATATTAAATATAGAAACTTAAGTTATCTTTCTATAAATAGCAATAATATAGCATTTATTACAAACTTTTCAGTGGACAGTGAAATTATATTTTGATAATTTTACAGTGAAATTATAAAATATAGTTTTCACAGTAGCCGGACTATATCCAAATGCATGTTAACAGTATATATCTTGAGTAAGTGGAAATATCCTGGACATACATTCAGTAAAATATGAATTATTACTAGAAGCACATTGATATCTGCACATATCATACAGTTCTCAATCAGACTTTATGCTTATATGCAACTGCAAACACCCACTTTGGAAAAAAATGATTCCAACTTTTATTTTACAATATTTTTAATATATACATGCATATAGCTGTAAAAGGCCCAGTTTTGAAGACTAAAATACATAATGATGGCATGCCTGTTTAAACACTTATTACACAAATGAGCCGTGTCATGTCATGGGTTTGCGACCAGCATGGATCCAGACCAGCCTGCACACCCGCGCAGTCTGATCAGGATCTATGCTGTTCGCTATCAGTTTCTCTACTTGTTATAGGGTTTGTAAGCGAACAGCATGGATCCTGATCAGACTGCGCGGATGCCCAGGCTGGTCGCAAACGCACTATGATGGTTTTGTCGTGACGTGGCTCAAATGTTATTTGTATGTATACCTTGGATGTTTTTTCAGGAGTTATCAGGTTTGAATCTTTGACTAGAGCTTGTAATGGTACAGTCACATCTATACAATCTTCTGTTTGTAGGTCTCTGTAATGTACAAACAATTTGTACATACATAATAAATACTGTGCACACAACTTGACAAGTTAACATATAACAGAAGAAGTATATAACAGGAGAGGTGTATAACAGGAGAGGTTTATAACAGGAGGTATAATATAACAGGAGAGGTATACTATAACATGAGAGACATATAACAGGAAAGGTATACTATAACATGAGAGACATATAACAGGAAAGGTATACTATAACATGAGAGACATATAACAGGAAAGATATACTATAACATGAGAGACATATAACAGGAAAGATATACTATAACATGAGAGACATATAACAGGAAAGATATACTATAACATGAGAGACATATAACAGGAAAGATATACTATAACAAGAGAGACATATAACAGGAAAGGTATACTATAACATGAGAGACATATAACAGGAAAGGTATATAACTCATAACAGGATAGGTATATAACAAAAGAGGCATTTAGATACCAGAGGAAGACCGCCTCCGTGGTCGAGGGGTTAGAGTCGATGACTTCTAATTCAGTTACCTCTCTCGCGTGGGTTTGATCCCCGTGAGATGCTTTGATAGTTTAGCGTGGAGGAAGGTAGTTTAGTACTGGTGTAACTCTCCAGGATTGATGGTTAGGAAACTACCCGCCTATATGACTGAAATACTGTTGGAAAAAGGCGTAAAATCAAACAAACAAAGGTACAAGGGGTACAATATAACAGAAAAGTATACAACAGGAGAGGCATATAACAGAAATGTATATAACAGAAAAGTATACAACAGGAAAGGCATATAACAGAAAAGGTATATAACACAAGAGGTATATAAAGGATCTTACTCATCAGTGGAGGATGAGAGTTTTCCATATATGGCTGTTATTATAATTAAACCATTCCTTCTTTCTTCAACTTCTATATTCCTATCAACAGATTCCTTCATAAGCTCTATCTGTAAAATATAGTCAAACTTTAGTAAAATACAACCATACTTCAGTCAATTAAGTCAAATTCCTGTATTCTTAATTGCTGTCAAACTTCTGTAAAAATACAGTCAAACTTCAGTCAAATACAGTCAAGTTTCTGAAAATGTAGTCAAACATCAGTATATTACAGACAAACTTCTATTAAAAAAATACAGTTAAAACTCTGTAAAATATAGTGAAACTTCTGTAAAATACAAATTTATGTACAATACAGCTGAACTTCTGTACAATACAGTTGAACTCTTATAAAACAGTCCTGTAAGTCAAATGTATATGTCATGCCAACAGTTTCGCATACTAGGAAAAATTTGGACCTTACATGCAGTTTTATTTAATTGTTAAGATACTAATATTTACCAAAGCTTGTGCTTCCCGCTTTCTCTGTTGTATTTTCTCTTTCTGTTCCTGCTTCTTTCTCACCAATTCTCTGAAATATCATCAATGATTCATTTGAGCCACGTCATGACAAAACCAACATAATGGGTTTGCCACCAGCATGGATCCAGACCAGCCTGCGCATCTGCACATCTGCGCAGTCTGATCAGGATACTGCTGTTCGCTATCAGTTTCTCTACATGTAATAGGGTTGGTAAACGAACAGCATTGATTCTGATGGCTGGTCTGGATCCATGCTGGTCACAAACCCATTATGTTGGTTTTGTCGTGACATGGCTCATTTGTCAACCATATTGTCCTAAAAATTTCCATTTCAAGACTGTTTGTTTAATTGTTTATTTGTTACTAGGAGATATGTGAAGATGACACAGTCATAAGTTCCCAAATCAGCCTAAGAAGCTCAGCTTAGCATCCATGATGATGTTCGGGGCTGAATACTACATGAATTGTCATAAACAGACCTGACTTTCCAGCTTAAAAGACCCAGAATGGCCCTGGATTTTGGCTTCCTTTTCAGCAAATGAGTTACATTTGTAGAACAATTGACCCTCTGAAAGTTAACTGCCTAAATATCCGCATGTCAAGATATTACTATCAGGATTTGTACTAAAAATATTGACAAGTATAAATCACGCCCGTTTAACTCACAACGAGTGAAAAATGTCCATCGGTAAAAATGTTGTGAGCAACTTCCGTTCCTCGTTGTGAGCACCCATCTATGACGTGTGATACGATAAACAAGGTGAGTTTTTCACACATTTTGAAGATTACAGACATTTATGTAAAAATATCGGAATGCAGTTAGCTAGTGATGTGTTTTCCGAGTATGCACATGTAAAGATATTGCCTGTTGGTGGACAATTTGATGGAAATACTGTGCGACGCAGTCACTCGGGGTAGCAGGAAAACTGGAGACAACTTCTCTTTGGACCTGATTTAACATTGAAAACGTCGATTCTGGTGACGTTTTGTGCATTCTAACCTAAAACAGATGCCCACAAGTCTTCAGCGTAAATTATTATCTGAAAGTTTTCATAGAAACGAAGAAATACCCTTTTTTGCTTTAATCCTCGTTGTGAGCACCATAACCTCGTTGTGAGCAAGACCAGCGCAGTGCTTGTCTTGTTTTAATATGTAATTCAAATGGCGAGAATATAATTTTCAATCTACCAAAGCAAGTAAGACGTTGTTGCACAGCAGCATTTCTTTGCAAGACGTTGTGCATACCCCAAAGGGAGGCATATTAGTTTTGAACTGTCCGTCTGTCAGTCCGTCAATCCGTCCGAAATCTTTAACATTGTCCATAACTTCCTTATTAGTAAACGGATTTGATTCATATTTGAAAACAACATCACTTAGCACAAGACCTTCCTACGGACCTGTATTTTTTCACCTTGACCCCTGAATGGCCTTTACCTTGAAGGTAAAATTGTCCAAAAACATTTAAGTCGGCCATAATGTCCTGGCATAATGTTATGCACAACACCTATTTGGACAAGGCCTTCCAACTATCCTATATTCTTTTGACCTTGACCCCTGAATGACCTTCACCTTGAAGGTCAAATTGTCCAAAAACTTAAAAATTTGTCATAACTTCCTTATTAGTATACGGATTCTACTCATATTTTGACACAACACCCCTTTAGGCAAGACCTTCAAACTGATTTTTTTACCTTGCACCCTGAATGACCTAGAAAATATAAAAACTTTAACATTGGTCATAACTTCTTTATTAGTATGTGGAATTAATTCATATTTGGACACAATGCCTCTTTGGACAAGACCTTCCAACTGACCTATATTTATTTCACCTTGACCTTGAATGACCTCCACATTGAAGATCTTATTGTCCAAAAACAAATAATCTATCTGGTCCATAAATCAAAGGACAAAGCACCATTTCGGGGGCATTGTCAACTTACCGTGACAGTTCTTGTTTTACATAACTTGGTCAGTCTTCATCTCAGGATAAACACATGTATGTGTATCACACAGATTGTGAAATTGTTGAAATATTCATAAACTCCCCGTGATGTTCACTCGAGCCACACTAGAGTATACGAAATAAAATACCTGATTTACCCCCACTGATTAGTTCTTCTGTTAATCTGATGACTTGTGAATGTGAAGAATAATTTTCAAAAAAAAAAGAAAAAGAAGAACTATTGCAAAGAAAAACTATTATACAAAAACGTTTTGATTGCTTTTGGTTGATTGAAAATTGTATTCTCGCCATTTGAATTACATATTAAAACAAGACAAGCACTGCGCTGGTCTTGCTCACAACGAGGTTATGGTGCTCACAACGAGGATTAAAGCAAAAAAGGGTATTTTTTCGTTTCTATGAAAACTTTCAGATAATAATTTACGCTGAAGACTTGTGGGCATCTGTTTTCGGTTAGAATGCACAAAACGTCACCAGAATCGATGTTTTCAATGTTAAATCAGGTCCAAAGAGAAGTTGTCTCCAGTTTTCCTGCTACCCCGAGTGACTGCGTCGCACAGTATTTCCATCAAATTGTCCACCAACAGGCAATATCTTTACATGTACATACTTGGAAAACACATCGCTAGCTAACTGCATTCCGATATTTTTACATAAATGTCTGTAATCTTCAAAATGTGTGAAAAACTCACCTTGTTTATCGTGCCACACGTCATAGATGGGTGCTCACAATGAGGAACGGAAGTTGCTCACAACATTTTTACCGATGGACATTTTTCACTCGTTGTGGGTTAAACGGGCGTGATAAATAGTGAATCCAGATCAGCACAATACTAGTAGCCATAATCTTAATATCACCTTTGTTTATCAAGTTTTTGTTTTAACTTTTAAGGAGAGTGTCCATGTTGCACCAGCACCTGTTGCACTGAAGCTTATTTATGTTGTTACATAATTTTGACAACAGATGCAGTCATCAAAACAATAGGAACACTATGACCTTGCATCACACATAACAAGAGCCGGTTGAACTGGGTGATGCTCCCCGAATAGGTTTTGGACACAGAGAAGTAGTTTGTCCAAACAGAGCTTATGTCCCATGAAAAAAGAGTAATACAGTGGAACCTGTCTTATCCCAACTCGTCGGGACCAGAAGAAAAGTTTGGATTAGTGTGGTTTCCGGATTAGAAAGGTTAACAAATTAGGAGGTTTTTCTACATGGTTTTTTTTCATGTTATTTGCAAAATAGTTTAAGGAAAGAAAACAGGAATGCATCTGAAATTGCAATTTAGATATTTTATTTTTGCAGTCTCTTATTGTTCATTTTAATACATGTGAATACAAAAATAAAGAAATAAAAATTAATAAATAAGCAAAAATATTATGTTCTCAAGGGTAAGATAAACAGGAAGCTGAGACATGATTAGATATTCGTATCAGCATTTGTCAATTGTTGTTTACTCTTATCCAATTCAGCGACTATCCAAATTCACTGACAGTTTCCATTAATTTTCATTACTTAATCACGTATCATTGAATCCTATACAAAGGATTAAAAGATATTTCTATTGCATTATATAAAAATATTTATAGAAGCTGACGAAAAACAATCAATTAAGCAATTATAGAAGATATCAAGGCAAGCTCAGTGTAATTTTCACACCTTTGCAGATCATACGTTCACCAATAAATCAAGCGAAATAACACTTATCAGTTTGGTGTATGTTTACACATGCAAGATGCGCAATTAATTGTTATTTTGAATGAAGGTGTGACATTTGGCAAAATCTGTTCGGATCCAAGTGGTAAATTTAAGAGTAAAATGAGAACAAAAATTGAAAAAATCGTCCGGAATTCGGAGTAGACAGGTTCCGGATCCGAAAGGTTTTTTACTATTGAAAATAGAACAAATAAAATCTGGACCGGCCACTTGCGTTCGGATAAGAAAGGATTTTGGATTAGAAGGGTTCAGATTAGCAAGGCTCCACTGTAACTCCAAAATTAGGCAAGTTACTATTCTTATGCATTTCACATCTGCTTATTGAGATCCAGCTACCTTCAAAGTTTCTTGTTGATACAACTTGTAGTTTCAGAGTTATGTCCCTGACAAGAAAATGCAGACAGATGTACAGACAGAAAAAGCAGCAACTATATATGCTCTCCCTTCCGGGAGCATAAAAATAAATTAATACCTCTACCACCTTTAATAGTCCCAAAATAAATGTTTTATTCTAAAGTATATATAAAACTTACTTTTCTTTTTGTCCGGACAGGAAAGGATCAACAATTAATTTCTTTACAGCAAAGTAAGTAACTATAGGAATGATTGTACCGTACAATATAGAGCTTGGTATCACCTCATCTGATAACTTTATAGGCATTAACATAGTATGACTACCTCTATCTAACCTGAAATATAATATACATGTATATACAAGCTGAATCTAATGTAAAATGACTGATTTACACTTTAAAGATAGTCATTTTTTGAATTTCTTAAATTTATTCAATAATATTGCACACATGTATTTTTTCATACAATGTAGTATGACTGCCGCTATATAAACTGAAATATATACAAGCAGAAAATTACATAACATGACACAGTTACATTTTCAGTTCACAAGTAAAGCTTTTTTTTTTTTTTATCTCTATCCTATATTTATTTCACTGTATCGCACACTTGTAACACTGATTTTTATTGGACAGTCTTAATATTCACAACATACGTACTGACATACATGACTGCTACAAATGATGATATCAATCATAGATAAAAATGCGCATTATCATCAATTTGTTATATTTTCATTTATTAAAAACTGCCTGCAGTCTTGCCTTTGTAAAAAATATAATATGGAAATATAAGACTATCTGTGATTCACTTACTTGATAATGCTTCCATTTATGCTTCAATAATGTTTGTTTGTTTGATTTTTGTTTGATTTGGGTTTTACGTCACACAGACACAGTATAGGTCATTTGGCGACGTTCCAGCTTTACTGGTTGAGGAAGACCTCAGGTGCCCCTCCGTGCATTTTTTCAGGCACCAACGGGCACCTGAGTACAACCACCAACATTCCGTAAGCTAGCTGGATAGCTTCCTCACATGAAAGAATCCAAAGTCCCTGTCGGGATTGGAACCCACAGCGGTGAGGGGCAAGTGGTTTGAAGTAAACAACCATAACCACTCGGCCACAGACGCCCCACAATAATGTTTGGGCCAAACAATGTTGTACACCAGGTATAAATATATTTGTATTTTTAATGTAAGTTATATAAAAAATATTATCAAGCTCATCTTACTTAAGAGCAATTGTAACTCCAGTAGGATATCCAACAGACATTGTTGCTCCTAGATTACTAAATGCTGTCACTTTTTTCTCTATACCATACTCTATTACTGCACCAAATGTCCCTGCTCTAAAACATACAACAACAACATTGAAAATGTAGCAAAACATGAAAACTTTAATCATTTTATAATGATTATATGAATTTTCACTTCTAAATCATATAAAGCCTTGATGAACACTGAATTCAAGTTTTCAGAAGGAAATTATTATACATCAAATACACAATCACATTGCATTAAGACATGAGCACTGCTCAAACATTTTACATGTTTCAGATTTGCTATAACATGTAAAACTATGATGGAGCAAGCAGCAAACTGACCAATTATCAGCATTTGTTGAAGACTAATTCAAACACTATTTAGATTAAAACAAGAGCACCCAATGTGGTATTAATGCTTGTCTGTTAAAAAGGGGCATATGATTATCTTTGAAAATATTTGTTTAAGAATTATGCCCCTTGTCTAAAAACTACACGTCATCATGATTAAGCAAGTTTTCCCAGTGTTATATTGATATCTTTTCACAAATTTTTGAATAATGCACTACATTATAGTTTTTGCACTAAGGAAGCAACACCACCACCTCAGCCATCATAATAACTCTATTTATTTTTTCGAAACAGATGAGCTAAAAATGACAACTGCAGGAACACAATATTCTTGTATTCGCTCCTATTGCATAATTTCAGAAATAAGAAATTATGCAGATTAATGAAACTTCTACCTATCTGTTAGCTATATACATGTATCTGAACAGCAGACTGTGCACTGGCAGACCATGATAGAGAGTGCAGATGTGTGTGATGATCTTCATCTGCACTGGATGCAAAATCAGAATAAGTTGCTGTCAGCAGATTAAAGGTTAAAACATTGCAATGTACTAAACAATGTTGACAAAATGATTTTTTTTATTTATCATTTTGATTATTCATTATGAAATATTATACTTACTTTAAGCTAACTGTTGTTGAAACATCGTGTTCTTTGAACTTTTTGGTGTATGATGTATATATATAACTGTACTGAATACCTAACTGAAAAATATAAAATTCAATACATTTTGACACTTTTAAGATACTTAAGCTATTACCCTATAGTGTTAAAACATGTCAAGATAAATCAAAACTCAAAATAACTGTCAAATATTACCATTATCTAGCATGCACTGTGGCATTAACTAAAGATAAGTCCTTAACAGTGGCATTAACTTAAAGATACAACCTTAACTGTGGCAGCAACACAAAGGTAAGTCCAAAACTGTGGCATTAACAAATACATGTAGTTTATTCTAAACCATGGCATTAAAGTAAAGATAAATCCTTAACCATGCCATTAACAATATATGTATAAATGTTGTCACTTATATACAAATTCAGATTATGAAAACTGTTGCTAGAAACAACCAGCTGAAGTATACTTTGCACATTTCCTCAATTGGATAAACATTTCACCCAGGTATTAGCCTAATACAGTTAAAATAAATATACAGGGAACAGAAAATTGCTGGTTCAGGCCTTTAACACCCCAGTTACACAGAGCCATCGGTGATTGATCGGTAGTTTTTTTAGCCAAATTATGAGGTGAACGTATTTAACACTGATATCACCTGTTTTCCACTTATCAACTGCTATTGGGGAAAGATAAGTTTCATCTGCGAAAAATTACTGATTGGGATTTTTAAAATTCTCGATCGGTGAAAATATTTTACAAATAACCGACAGCAACCTACATCACGAGATATGCAAGCTCTTAATCACCGATATAGCCGATTGGACAAAGATAACCAAATATGAATCACCGGCCATATCTGACGGAAAGTGTTTAACCACTGATGACTAGCTAACACCGATTTATCAGCGTTACGCCCGATTAACAAATGATAACAACCGATAGTTTTTCAGCATTTTTATTACCGATCCAACCCCGTTTGAGTTTGCTTTCTGTCACCGATGGCCGTTTACACAGAAAACCAGAAATAAAATCACGCATGACAACTGATCATAACAGCGAGTAAATTTAAAATTAAATGACCGATTGGGGACCGACCTTCTGTGTAACTGGGGCCTAACCTTGAACTGTCACTTTTAATGTATAGATACGTATCTGGAATATGGGTTCTTCATGAGATGTTCTGTAACATTCTACCCAAGCAAAATAAATATCCTTCAGTATAAAAAGTATAGTGCAGACCATAAAGTTAACTAGCTAGCAGACAGACTGATAGTAAGACCACTGGGGGTATGGCTATAACACATTTGAGGTAAAAAAAAAAAAAAGAAGAAGAAAAAAAAGCATGTACCAGTAATGTTCATAAAAGAGGAGTACTGAAATTTCAGTGCATTTATTTTGTGCAAAAGGTAGAGCTGACAACCTTTGATTTATAATTTGCATGTTTATTTAACCTTCTGCAATAGATATTCCTCTGTAGCATTAAAAAGTATGCAAGCTGAATTTGAACTTAAACCTGATGAGTTAATGTAATGGATTTGAAATTTGAAACAGTCCATTAAATGTTTAAGGGATTTCAATATCAAAATACAATAATAACTGTTCATGAATTACCATCTGACACATAATTAACAAGCAAACAATCCAACTTTATCAGAAGGAACATTTTTCTTAAAGGTTCTTGTACGTCTGAACCCCACATAGTATTTCAGATTCTGTCATGTGATTTTAAATATGATTAATGAGCTGCGTCAGGACAAAACCAACATAGTGCATTTGCGACCAGCATGGATCCAGACTAGCCTGCGCATCTGCACAGTCTGATCAGGATCCATGCTGTTCGCTTTAATTTTCTCTACTTGTAAAAGGATTGGTAAGCGAACAGCATGGATCCTGATCAGACTGCGCGGATGCGCATGCTGGTCTGGATCCATGCTGGTCGCAAACGCACTATGTTGGTTTTGTCGTGATGCGGCCCTTTTTTTTTTTCAATGCACACTTACATTAACTTCAAAGAGCACCTGTTGGGTTTCTGAGTGGTAAACTAATAATGTTTTAAGGTTTGACGGTGCTAAAATATTCCATCGTATCCTTCCTTGCCAGTATCTGTCGAAAGTGTAACTCAAACCTGAAATAATGTAATAACATTTACATGTACAATATAATGCCTGTGTGTTTTTAAAAATGGCAAGGTTTACAATATTTCGTTATCATTCATTTTGACAATTAAAATGGTTATTTTTGTTTCTAAAATTTGAACATTCTCAAAGGAAAGCATAAATGAAGAGTGAAATAAGTTACAGAGAGAAAATCTCTAGATAAAATCATTTATTAAAAACTTTCAAGACATGACATCTTGAACACAATGCACAAGGCTGGAACTTAGATAGTTTGATTAGCAAGCTGGAAATACTTAGACATAGGTGACTGACATTTGATCAACACAGTGGGATATTTCTACATCATCATCATAAACAATGGCAGATATAACAATTCACATTAAAGAAAAAAACTGATTTTCTAAATTATATTTTTTTAAACGCGGAAAATTTAAAGAAATTATTTCTTTTTTTACTGTAGTGCGCATATTAATCAAGTTTTACCAAAATGTGAAAAACATGTATATTACTGGAAGGTCATCTTAAAATTGGGAACAAATTGAAAACTATACGTACCAGTGTTGACAGATGGTTTAATACCCCTTTCTGATACTTTCAAATTTGTGTTGAAGTTAAATATTCTGCAAACAAATTATAACAAAGGTAAATTAAAACAACACAAATCTTGCTTCTACAATGTCATAGTTATACATACTATCTAACATGAAAAGGACAGACTTCTGGGTTGTATTTTTTTCTGACTGACCCTAAACCTTGCCCTTAACCCTTAATTTAATTTGGGTTCATGTGACATGTGCATGAAATACATGTGTATGTACAAAAACCAGACAAACTGTGCATCATTTTCTAAATAGAAAGAAAAGTCAGATTGACAGCACAATAATTTGTTCCCCAACAGGATATCAGACTCAGCCCTTCATTTTTACTGATGATGTGATAAAATAAAAGTATATCTTCATTTTTTTAATTTTCTTTTGTTGTTTGTTCCAGTTCACAAGAAAGTGTCACATTTGTGCAGTAACAGGTTAACTCCTATTAAATTTTATAGGTGTTAACCTGTTACTACACTAAGAAGTAGATAGATATTGATAAAGTTGATTGATGCTCCCTGTATCTGCATATTTTTCAATTAATTATGCTCTCCTTTCCAAGATTTCAATGTCTAAACATTGATATTTAAAGGTCAAGAAAAAACATCATACAGAAAACAGTACTTACAAACTTTTAAAGAAATGCCGTGAGAACCTGAAAGATACCCCTGATCTGGAACCGAAACTTGTTTCCACCTGAAAATAATATACATCAGTTCACTTCACATACTGATACTTGTTTCTTTTGTTGTTTATACCGATTTTAACACATCTTTAGTCAAATCTAATTAGCTTTCTTGGGTAACTAAGCAGATTATTTACAAGATAACTACCAGTCATTTCAAACTGTTTCACAAGTGATCGCCTACTAATCCTGCATGATTTCTGAATCAATGGTGTGAGACACATGACTATTACACTCAATGTCTGCCCCTCGAGGATCAACCCAGTGACCCCTGAATCACAAAACTTATCCTTTTCTGATTTATCTAAGTGGGTGGACTCACTTCCTTTAAAATGGATTCCATCTATTTTTAAACTATATGTTTGTTTGTTTGTTTCATTTTACGCCTTTTCCCAACAGTATTTCAGTCATATAGGTGGGCAGTTTCCTAACCATCGTTCCTGGAGAGGTACTAGACTACAAGTACTAGACTACCTTCCTCCGCGCTAAACTACCAAAGCATCTCCCGGGGATCGAACCCACGCCAGAGAGGTAACTGGATTAGAAGTCATTGACTCTAACCCCTCGACCACGGAGGCTATTATGTAAATTACTTAAATTAATGAAAATAAAGAAAAAAATTTAAATTTTGTGATAATTCTGACCTTTAATTGGTAACAGGAGTAAGGAATTCATTCATGAATGATCAAGATCCCATGCCCTTATCACAATTTTGATTGAATTTAGAAATTAATATGTAAACTAGAGCACATGCCTTCATTTTCCCTTTTGTTAAAAAAATAAAAATCACACATGACAAATTCCTTCATATTTACATACTGTTAACAGAAAAGTGCTGGAATATATTCCTAGTTTTAAGACTGAGATAAATGATACATGCTGGCACTTATCCTATAACAAACATACACGTCACTTACTTCTACTGAGCCTCTACTAGACAAAAGTCTCTTCCAAGTTACAGCAAATATCCCAGAACCATTTCCATTCTCGCTGGCAAGATTCCAGCGCAGTATAGCAGTGTTCTGACTAGTTAAAGGGCAATCAACTGACTGACTTACATTCATTGAACTGATACCTATACTGGGGATCCTTTCCATCCTGAAATTTATTATATATTGTAGTGTTTAAAATGTATATATTAAGGAAAGAATTTAATTTTTATCCTTTAAGTCTGGGGAATATAATAAAAGCTGCCAACAGGAGAGCATGCAGTTATAGATTTTTAACATTGACCTTCAAACACATGTATGAATATGCATGGACTGATCAAGTGTGTTTGTTTGATTGATTGGGTTTTCATCACACTGACAGAGTATAGGTCATATGGCAATGTTCCAGCTTTACTGTTGGACGAAGACCTCAGGTGCCTTTCCTTGCATTATTTCAGGCACAAACGGGCACCTGAGTAAAACCATAAACATTCCATAAGCTAGTTGGATAGCTCCATCACATGAAAGAATACAAAGTCCCTGTCGGGATTCGAACCCATAGCGTTAAGGGGCAAGTGGTTTGAAGTCAACAACCTTTAACCATGGATGCCCCTGATTGGGTATGAAGTTGTGCTAGAAATTACACACAAAACTTTAACCAAAGCTGCTAATGCTAACACCAATGCCCTGATAGGAAGGCTTGTTCCACCATTTTTCCAAAAGTCAATTTAAACAAAAGCTGTCCATAAGAAAACATGCTCGATTATTCTCAGTAAGAAAGGGTGTATAACATGTAACAAGAGCTGTCGGTAGGACAGCACGCTCGACTATTCTAAGTGCTTGATAGTAAAAGAGCCTTGATAATGTTAAATTTTTTAAGTTCACAAAAGGGCTAATTTTTTTTATAAATTCATGTTATAGGCCTTAGAGAGAGTCTAATTATACAGTATTGGCTTGACTATTCGGAAGGTAATGTCACAAGGGTGTTTTATTGAGTATAATAATACTAATTACCTATGAATACATAAATTTGACAGAAAAGGTACAAAGGCTTGTTATTAAGATGTTTTATCAAGTAAATCACTGCTTTATTATTATGAATGCATAAAATTGTCCCAAAAAAGGCACAAACCCTTCAGTAGTTATGGAGATAACAGCTTACAAGCAAAACTTACCATGAATTTCTTAGTTGAAAAAGGGGAGAAAAATCAGCCTAAATGCAAGATAGAATTATGGATCTTTGTCAGTGACCTACAATTATGACCCTAAATGCATATGTGAAGTTTTAAATAAATATCTTTAATAGTTATTGAGATATGTAAAACTTGCATGTAAACATTAAAGGGACTCCACTGAGGTTTAAAAGTCTAAAAACATAACATTTGAATTTCTTACTTAAATGAGCTGGGGCACTTTAAACAGTAATATTTGCAAAGATAGTTAAGAAATATACTTTGAAATAAATTGATAATCGTATTTTTATGCTTTTCTTAGCCTAATTTGAGTGAAAAGCGTTTAAAACGCTTTTCAGTTTGGGCCAGTTTTTTACAATTTGAATATTTATTCCGGAAAAAACGGTGTGCGCCAATGATCTGAAATTTTGCACAAAGATTAGTGGTCTAAACCTACATCAAATGGTACAATTATCTGGAAAAAATATTTTCAGTCCCATCATGTCAAAAAAACCTCAGTGGAGTCCCTTTAACCAAGAGACTAAGTAGAAAAGGGGATATGAATCAGCCTTAATGCAAGATAGAGTTATGGAACTTGGTCAATGACATACATGTATGACCCTCAAATTATGACCTTAAATACATGTGTAAAGTTTCAAGTAAATATCTTTGAAGACCTTTAACCTTCTAAGTTCCAAAGGGGCAAATAATTCTGCAAATATTGCAGGCAGAGTTATCCAACTTTGCAAACTGATGTACATTGTTACTATAAAAAAGTATTTTAAATTTCAATTGAATATCTCAAGCAATAATTGAGATATTTGACTTTACAAAAAAACTTTAACCAAAATTTCTAAGTTCCAAAGGGGCATAATTCTGTCAATATTGTAGGCAGAGTTATCCAACTTGTCAATCTGATGTACCTTGTTACTATAAATAAGTATTGTAAGTTTCAATTGAATATCTCAAGCAATAATTGAGATATTTGACTTTACAAAAAACTTTAACCAACGCAGACGCCAACGCGGACGCCGACCCCGGGGCGACTACAATAGCTCTCATATTCTTCGAATAGTCGAGCTAAAAATTAACTCCGAATTATTTGACATAAGCCCATCATGTTAAAAATTCACAGAGAACAAGTGTATGCAGTTTCAACCCGTTCCTTTCAACAGTTTTTGAGATACTAACTTGCACACAAAATACTTAACCAAAGTGTGATACTGACAATGACACCAAAATGCAGACTTGATTACAATAGCTCTCACTATTCTTCAAATAGTCGTGGTCAAAAAAAAGTACAATATCATATTTAGATAAAATCATTGTTAAAATGACTGAAACATTATCCATATTACAACCAAAGCTGTCATTGGTCAAAAGTCTTCTTTTATTCCCCAAAGAAATCACAGGCTTGTCTACAATTTCAACTTTTAAGTGAAAAATCTTACATTCCATAATCATCATCTTCACCATCATCATATGACTCGAACAGTTCACAGGCATTCACAACTATTACAGCATTTGTCTGAAAACAAAAATGCAAAAACAATTAAACACTAAGTTGAAATAAATATGTATTATTTCCCACTAATTCCCATTTTTGTCAAATTTAAGGTATATTTATAATCACTTTACAAAAATTTGGAAATCCCTAAGGGAATTTCTGCGTGTGGGAAATCCTAGCCAACTGTGATTGACATGGCTCTACACATTGCTTAAATGATGAACTTTAAATGATTTATCATTTTTTATCTAATCTTAAGCATTAGTAAAAAGCCTCTTTTGCCGAGTGTATACAGTCCTAGAGTTGGAATAATTTTTCTACCATTGCTTTTGGCTTGAATCCCACTAAGAACATTAATCTTCAATATCATTCATGTTAGGATGTACAATCCAATTATCATACAGGCAGAAAAATTAAAGGTGTCCTTTCAGTTCTGAAATGATTCTCAGAAAAGCACCTGTGGCATTTAACCACCAATATACCTGTAAAATCAACATATCAACTTAACAATGTTGCTGTCACTGAAAAGCCAAAGCCAAAACAAAAATATGCATGTTTTTAAAATCTTAAAACCTGGCGATTGAAGAATGCAGCAACATTTTGTAATATATACTGTTGTATATCCACCATAATGCCATAAACCCCAACTACTTCACCTTCCAAAAAAAACTTTCAATATTTTATTTCATTTAATTTCTTTGAAAACTTTTTTCAAACTCATAACCTTTTAACATTAATATATTTATTTAAAATGAATAGAAAGTTTTAGCATACTTTAGGGTTAGTAAATTGTTGTAGCCTTCTTTCCTCCTGCTCTTGTTGAAACCTTTCATACTCGGCTATAATCTCACTCGGAGTCTTTGTTCTAGACACAACCTTCAAAATAAATGCATCATGTAAATCTTCATTTTACTATTAAAAACTCTAATTGAACTTTAAAAAAAAGGAATTTCATAATAGGCAATTTGTTTTTATATTCGTATTTGTTTGTTTATTATAACCTTAATTATTTTTTACAGAAATAATAGTCATTCAAGATTTTTACGAAAAATTGCAAAAAAATATATTGACTGAATAGCAAACAGTGCAGACCAAGATCAGCTGACACATCCAGTGCAGACCATGATTAGACTATATGTCCATGCATATGTGCCAGCTGACCTTTGTCTGAACTACATGGATAGATCTAGTTGCTACCAGCAGCATCAGATTTAATACTTTGTCTTATTTAGTCTTGTGAAGAAATGAATATGATTATATCAAATGGATCAATAAATAAGAGAGCCATGATGGCCCTGAAATTGCTCATCTGTATATAGGCCCCTGAGCCATGGCCAAAATTAAACCAGGGGCTTTTATTTGAACAAACTTGGTAGGCATCCATTAGAAGATGTTTCATGCTAAATATCTTAGCTCTAGCTCTTTGGGGTTTTTAAAAGAAGATTTTTTAAGTTTTTACTATATACATAAAGGGTAAGTTTTTATTATATACATAAAGGAAAAAAACAATGACCCAATGAGGTGGGGCCAATTTTAACCCCAGGGCTTTTATTTGAACAAACTTGGTAGACACCCACTAGAAGATGTTTCATGCTTAATATCTAAGCTCTACCTATTTGGGTTTTTTAAAAGAAGATTTTTTAAGTTTTTACTATTTACAAATAAGGAAAATCAATGACCCCTAGGCGGGGCCAATTTTTACCCCAGGGAATTTATTTGAACAAACTTGGTAGGCACTGACTAGTTGATGTTTCATGCCAAATATTTAAGCTCTAGCTCTTTTGGTTTTCTAAAAGAAGATTATAAAGTTTTTTTCTTTCGGTTGCCATGGCAACGAGTTTTGCATGGAATTAAATTCTTTGAACAATTTTTAAAGGTGACCACCAAAGGAATATTCCTGTGAAGTTTGAATGAAGTTGGCTTAGTGGTTTATGATGTTGATAAAAGTAAAAGTTTACAGACGGATGCAAGACGAAAAGCGATCACAAAAGCACACCATGTCACTTCATGACAGGTGAGCTAAAAAACATTTGTAATGTTGGTTAAATTGCAAAAAGAACAAAATCAAATTTTGTTTTCAATAGTATTGGCTTTGATAAAGAAACAACTTTTTCTTAAAATCATAGGATTATTGAATGTTAAAAAATACATCAAAATAATAAAACAGATTTGCCTAGCTACCTCCAAACCATACGTTTCTAGTCCTTTCTCCCCATACAAGTCATATATAACTCTCTTATGTTCATCAACCAGCACTGAAAACATAACATTAAATAATAACTTAAATACAAAGAAATTAATGTATGCAAGAATGGACAGATTTGATGTTTAGATCATGATGAACAATTCAGAAAATCCTACAATATTCCTCCTAACGCACAAAACAAACCAATTTCATGCTATATTTTAGCCAACATCATAGCCAACTAGTCAATTATTATACTTTAAAATCAATATTAAGAATTACTGAACTTTTGAGTTTAGGCTTCACTTTGCTTGACATACATTTATTTATTGATATACAATGTGAAAATATACATGTATGTAATAAATATGTTGTTCCACTTGTATTTTGATATATACCCATTACTTGTATGATATGTTTGATATGGGAAAACTGCATGATTTTACCGAAAATTTCAATCAGGAAGAGGCCTTTTATCAGAGTCTGTTATATAAGCAGGAAAATCACTGGCATAGGGCCATCCTTAAAAAAATGTTTGTTTGCAGTAACGCGACCGACTCAGAAAATTTGCCCCTACTCAAATTTATTTCGTGGTCTGGATAATTAATTTTTTTTTTTTTGAATCAGAAAATTATGCCTTGTGCTTTAAGGTTAATAGAAGAAATAAAATGTAGTTCTTATTAAATTAGAATTCAGTTATCAATTTATTAATTGTTACCAAATTATCAAAGCATAAATTGTCCAGCATTTTGAAATTCCATGTTTATTTGGGAGAACAGTTCAATAAAAAAAAAATTGACCTACCTACCCACCTTGAAAATTCTGGGTCGGGTTACTGCAAACAAACATTTTTTTAAGGACGGCCTAGTATATCCTTAAATAATGGTGTTACCTTCGTGTGCTTTTTTAAGTTTACTAAAGAGAAGTTCTGCATTTTTCTTCTTTACAGGATCCTGGTGCTTGTCTGGATGGTAGATTTTGCTCAGTTGTTTATATGCCTGATTCACCTCATTCTTGGTCGCCTGTAAAATTTTACAAAAAGAAATTCTATTTCAAATTTATTATTTATGAGAGTTAATACCATCAAATTTATTTGAGATTATATGTATCTAGTTTATTCAAAATTTACTTTAGTTTAGTTATTAGGAAGCTATAAGCTTATTCGGGGAAGTCAAAGGCCAGGACCTGGAAGCTGGCCTAAGCTTAGGCTTGCCAGGCAATAGACTATATGTGTACAGCGTTTTTTTCCTCTACTTTGGGAATGGTGCCGGTACAAGACTGTTTGGGAAAAAATGTGTTATTTTGACTAAAATTGGGAATTTTTTTAATGCATTTTTTCAGCTACAAATGAGATTAGACATCATGAATAAAGATAGCTAACAGCTTCTACTGTCCAGATAGAACTATTGAGTGGTGATTTATATGAATATGTTGGATTTAAATGATTTTAGAAAAATCACTTGGCCTTGTGGGCATTTTGAACAGCCATTTTGGGAATTTAAAATTGAAAATTGGGAATTTTAATGTTTATTTTCTATTGGGAAAAGTACCGTTTTAGGGTAGTAGTTATATAAAGAAAAAAAACACTGGTGTATATTTAAAAGGAAATCAATGAAAAACAATTAAAGAATATATAGAATTCTATACCTATCAATGAAATTTTCAGTGTCAGTTCTAGTTGGGCACCACCATTTTCAATGTTAGTCAATGATAATTCCGATAAAGGAACAATCACAACTTTCTGGATAAATGACAATCATTGAGTGTTCCGAGTGAAGCGGTGCATGAAATACTGAATGACACTTTTAAATAGGTAAACTGAACATTTTTTTTTAATCGACTTCCATGTTCATAGGCTTTGGCTAATTTCATATTAGACACACTCTCAAATCTGTTCCTGGAACCCACCAGTACTTTGCAATGAATGTAAAGTTTATTGCTAAAGGAAACAAGAGCCGGTTGAACCTGGTGATGCTCCCCGAATAGGTTTTGGACACAGGAAGGTATACCTATTAACACAGAGTTATTTCACAGACAAAGTTCAAAGTGTAAAAACAACCCAAATGTTGTGCACGACACTTTGTCTCAATATGGTGATCATTTCTGTGAAATAGTTGTAAAATCTGACTTCAAATAACAAAGTTATGGGCCGGACACGATTTTGCTGCAAGGTCATGCTGTGACCTTGACCTTCAAGGTAGCGACCCAAATGTTGCATGCGCCACGTCGATTCAATATGGTGATCCTCTCTATAAAATAGTTGTTAAATCCGACTTCAAGTAACAAAGTTTTGGGCCGAACACGATTTTGCTGCCAGGTCATGCTGTGACCTTGACATTCAAGGAAGCGACCCAAATGTTGCGCGCGACACGAGATCTCAATATTGTGAGAATTTCTGTGAAATAGTTTTTAAATCTGACTACAAATAACGAAGTTATGGGTGGGACACGATTTTGCTGCAAGGTCAAGCTGTGACCTTGACCTTCAAGATAGCGACCCAACTGTTGCGCCCAACACGCCGTCTCAAAATGGTGATCATAACTGTGAAATAGTTTTAAAATCCGATTTCAAATAACGAAGTTATGGGCCGAACACGATTTTGCTGCCAGGTCATACTGTTACCTTGACCTTCAAGGTAGCGACCCAAATGTTGCATGCGACACGCCATCTCAATATGGTGATCATTTCTGTGAAATAGTTCTAAAATCCGACTTCAAAAAACGAAGTTATGGGCCGGTCATGATTTTGCTGCAAGGTCATACTGTGACCTTGACCTTCAAGGTAACGACCTTAATATTGCGCAGGACACATAGTCTCAATATGGTTATCATTTATGTAAAATAGTTTTAAAATCCGACTTCAAATAATGAAGTTATGGACCAGACACGATTTTGCCTCAAGATTATGCTATGACCTTGACCTTCAAGGTAGCGACCCAAATGTTGCGCGTGACACGTCGTTTCAATATGGTGTTCATTTCTGTGAAATAGTTTTAAATCTGACTTCAAATAACAAAGTTATGGGCCGGACACGAATTCCGGACGTACATAGGCGGACTGACGGACGGACATTCTTACCAGAGCTACATTATGGGGTTTTCTTTCCTTATTCCTTTTGTTCTTATTAACCCCACAATGCAGAAAATAACTCTACAAGAGAAACGGAATGAATGACATCAAAGACATCTATTGTTATGAGAACAATAGACCAAAGCCCACAATGTAGCTCTGGTTTGTACGGACGGACGGACAACCCAACGACTATATGCTCCCCCGAAATTTTTTGGGGATCATAAAAACAATGTGCCCTTGACATGGTTTGAACCCATACAGCCAGAATTATCCTTGTATTAATACGGGGAAGTCAAAGGCCGGGACCGCGAAGCGGGCCCGGGCTTTGGCTTGCCAAGCTATAGTGACTACACGTGTATATTTAAAAGAAAAACAAATAAAATTCAATTAAAAAATATTTAGAATTCTATACCTATCAATGAAATTTTTAGTGTCAGTTTTAGTTGGGCGCTGCCATTTACAATGTAACTCAATGATAAAAGGTGAGGTATTCCAATAACAGGCAATCGCAACTTTTCGGATTAATAATAATCATCGAGTGTTCCGAGTGAAAATGGAAGTGGTGCATGAAACACATTTAAAACGGAAAAATAAATGATTTTTTAACTGACTTCCCCGTTCAAAGGCTTTGCCTAATTTCATATTAGTATATATATGACATGTCAGTGATTTTCCTACTTATATAACAGACTCCGAAAAAAGGCCTCTTCCCAATTGAAATTTTCTTTAAAATCATGCAGTTTTCCCAAAAATCTGAACTTAAACCAGCTTTTTTACTTCCCAAATCAGCAATTGTAGCGATAATTTTTCCAAAAATCAAGAGGCTCAGGCCTCTTCCCAATTAAGTGAGAAAAATCACTGCATGATGTTAGTCACTCATACTGGCAAATGTAGGATACATGTAGGCACCCTATGTGAATTTGACATTGAAAGTATTTGTTATCAACAGTTGCAACTTTTCGCTTTAAGAATAAACATTGAGGTGTTCTGACTGAAAACAGCAATGTGGCATGAAATACTGAATGTCACCTTAAAAAATGAAAGAAATTTCTTATCTGACTTTCCTGTTTATAGGCTTTGCCTACTTTTTGTGTGTTTTGTTTGTTTACCCTCGCCACCGGAAAATATCATTTGGGCAAGAATTTTCCTACTTTCATATTATTATAATATTACATTAGAAGTGACCACTCCATGTGAAGTTCCATCTACCATCAACATCTACATCGTACTACAAGAACTCCTTCTTCCCTCGTACAGCCACGATATGGAACAGCTTACCTGCCTCCGTTGCAGAGGCTCCTGACTTGGTATCCTTCAAGCAGGGGCTATCAGCCCTCACATTCTAAGTCGCCTTAGGGGCCCAGCTACAAGTACCCACTAGTGATATCCAAGGCTGTGCCGGCAGCGGCCACCGTAACCGGAGAGGTTTGGGTTGAAGAGGCGAAATATAGCTGGCCATACTTTTTGTCGGAATTTGGAGGTTACGTACCATGGAGGTTACGTACCACTGCATAAATGTACCATTTTTGGAGGTTACGTACCACTAAAGAAATATATAATAAAGTGATAATAAGGGATAAGGTGTGAAACTATCAGGTTTATTGTTCAAATTGTATTAATTTTGTAATGAGATTAAATATGTATGAATATAAAAGAATAAAGAACAAACCAATTAACGATAATAAACAAGTTTTATTTACAACACAAAACTGAAACGAACAAACGATGAAAATAATTAATAACACTAATATAATTACATGCACTAAACTGAAATGAACAGTACATGAAACAAACCACGGTAAATGTAAAAAAAAAAACTTTTCATTTATAGTATTATTTTTTTTATTTATACGCTTTTCACTGAATATGATAATAATATACTGAAAAAGTCAAGACAATATAATTGATAACAGTACATATGCAGGTTACATTTTATTTACAGACTCATATATAAAAACACATAATTATGTTACACGCTCTGAAATGAAACAACAATACACAATTAACAAGTATTTTTTAAAAAGGTAATTACAGTTGTGATATCTACAAGAATTGCAGTATATTTATATGTTTATTAGAGTTCACTCATTTAAAGTTTGAGTTACACGTCAAAGCCGGATCAGAGTTGTGATAAATAATTAATACCACACTGATTCACTCATATGTCAATAGTTTGCAATTTGTTTGTGATTTGTTAGATTACTCATTTCTGAATGTGTGATAATCATAATTTTCATATATAAAACGTTTGCATTTATATTAATTACTTGCTCATATGTGATTTTTAAAAAGTAATAATAAAGTTTTAAAATTCGGTCTTTTTTTATAATTGTTATGCTTTATATTATTTGTATTTTATATAAATTATATATATGGTACGTATCCTCCAAAATATATAAGTGGTACGTAACCTCCAAAAATGGTACGTAACCTCCTGGTACGTATCCTCCGTGGTACGTAACCTCCAGTAATCCTTTTTGTCTATATCTCTATCTTTGTACTATCCAACCTCTTCTTACTTTCTATCATTTCTTGTATATTTCTTTTTCTTGACCTAGCACCACCCGTCGCGTCATAATCAAGTGTGATTGCGCCGACGTACAATGTAGATGTAGATGTAGACATTAAGTACAGTACATGTACCTTCTTGTCCGATTCGTTTTACATCCGATTATAGTTTCAGTTTCAAAACGCCGACACCAATTGCCGAGTGATATTCGCTCCAATATCGTTAGCATACATCATGCAAATTCATTGTTATCCAAAACATATTTGCAAACTATTATAAAGCGAAAAATACCTGTCTTGAAATGTTCAAAAGAGAGTAATAATCGTCCTTCAAAATTTCGTCATCGTCTTCTTGCAAGGGCGCAGCCATCTTTTACAGTTGGCTAATATATTGACGATTAACCACGACTGTGACTGAAATATCGGGGAAAATTGATAACTGATAACACATCTGCGGATGTTTCTAAATTCAAAAGTTCACCATTTTAGTGTTTAAATGTTGAATTCTGCCTAAGCAGGTGCTAGGGGGCGTGGACGGTTACTTGCAATTTCCAGTACCGTCTATGAACAGGCTCAATCAATCCGAGCCTGCAACATTTTACAATTTTGCCGTGTTGGGCCTTCTTTAGGGATTCTGTTTTTCACTATTTCACCTTACTACATATCACATTACTTTGTTTTGTAATATTTTGTTATATTGTAGTTTTTTCACATGCCCAGCTGGGCCTTGAGATATCAAAAAAACATTAACTAAAGCCATGAATACCCGGCCGGATTCTTCCATTAAAAGAGTAGTACGGTTGTAAATAATGAGTGTTTTGAAATATCACACACAGTTCCAACATAACATTTATAATTTCATTTACCCAATGTGTTTTTAAACTGTTTTATCTCTTATCATCTTGTTTCACTATTAACATTTTAACCATGACTAGAATACATTTTCAGTCTCACCTTCCAAGCATGTCAATGTTTGGACTTTTCTTTTTAGCTTTTCTCTTCACCTTTTACTAACAATCCGACGTGCACTAAATTCCTGCCTTTAACACTCGTAAGAGGGGTTGGCAGTATCCAGAGATAGATAGATAGATCTCAAGTCAATGCAATATTCCTGATAAATCGGTATCTGTGATATATTTTTGTTATTAGGCCTAACCAGACTTTGGCTGATTAAAGTGCCGAGTATCTGCTATGGAAGAATACTATTCTTATTATTACCCGGTGATATTACATTTTGTACCCCTCAATAAACATGATTTTACTTTGCTTACATTTTGTATCATCATTTTAGACATGATTCCAGAAAGTTTTAAGTTGAAAAACAAACATTGTCCTACATGTTTATGCGGGGTTCTGGGTTCCTTAAAAAATAAAATGAAATCTGCACGTTAAATGGCGCCTTCTGGTGCATATTTGCAAATACAAGTTTCTTCAAATTTCCAGAAATTTCAGTGTAGAACATACAAGTTAGGGTTTTAATAATTTAGTGTTGATCTTGAAAAAACTGTTCATTTGTATATTACATTTTTCTTGTACGTACACTTACACAATTCAAAATTCACGTTTCTTTACTTTCCTAGAAAAGATCTGTTCTGTTTTTTAACACATGCAAGGGGATAAATATGCTACTGTCGGGGACCATCAACCGTACACTTTTTGAACATTTTTCTATACATATTTCATGATTTCTAACCTAGAGACCTGAAAATTTGACACAGTACAGTTAGGTTCTTCTCCTAACAAACAACCTAGTTTGTTTATTTCTGATTATGTTGACACTTACATCTGAGGCCTGTGGTTGGGGTATCAAAATTACCTAAATTGTCCACACTACAGTACCATGTGTCCGGACGGATATGTACATGATGGTCTCAACCCGGTACGGAATTAGACCCAGCCCATTGTAGTCTAGAAAGTAGTTCTTTAAAATTATGAAATGGCCCAATTGAAGTCATCTCTAGTTAGATTGTTCATAATTAAAGTGTATTTATTGCATGTGTGTAGTTTTTGTGTGTTATATGATGACTTTAAAAGTTGTTTTTTGTGTATTCTCCAGGAACTCATTTGTTGGTGGAAGGATTAAAGATGTACTACCCACCAGCTGTCAGGAGTTTTTAAAGTGGTGAATTTAAACAGTGTTACAACAGAATGAAGATTTCTGAAAAAAGTAGATGGCTAACCTATTATATTTTGGGCATCATTTGACTTAGATAGTGTTAATGTTTAAAGTTGAAGACAGTATATAATTCATCAAGAACATTGGAATCCAGAATTAAACCTCAAATTTGACTGATTTACTATAGAACTAATAGTACGAAAATTCACCGGGCCGAGTCCGATGTGATTTAAATGTAATATATCAGCAGCAAATGCTGAAGTTTTGGATATTCTTTTGTTTACACTGCAAATGATTATCGGTGGAATATGAGGTCAGGTATGGCACTCTTGATGCCCCAATCTTGAGCGTCAGCATTCTTAAGACAATAAAATATTACCGTTTACGGAAATTGAAATAAATTTTATTAATCATAGAAGAAACATGCATGTTGATAATAAAGTGACTGATAGATTGAAAACCAATGAACAAAGGAAAAAACCTAAATTAAGCAATTTGGGGGCCGTCCGTGTTTGGTGGTTGTCCGGTTTTGGTAGTCTCCAACCAGTAGTCTTCCTTTGAATTAAAAAAAAAATCAGCAAATAATTATGGCGTCAGATTCATTTTCGGATGCACTTTTCAAAGTATACTTTTCAACATTTTCTAATATTGGTCTTAGATATGTAACTTTTAACTTACATGAATGATGCTGCATATATACAATATCAGCTTTTGAGAACCCATAAAAACTACTTTTATCCTTATAATTTCAAATTGTGTATAACTTTTACATAAATCTGATTAAAACAAGCTGCTAATAAAACGCTACACTGTAGGAAATAAGTATGTTTGAACTTTAGTCTGATTGAATTGCTTCTCTATTCAAGTTGCTTCTCTATTCTGTTGAAGTAAAATAGTCCAATTGTAAGGCACTGCACATGTCGGTTGCACATATCATCCTTCTTAATGGGCTATTTCTAATTTATCTTACTAGTACTACTGATGGGTACAATTTCACAGTACTAGCTATCATACTGCCGCTTAAATCTGCCTCTAAATTGACCAATAAAAATTCATTTCATTACACGTGTCATTTTTATCACCAGTCACAAATATTTTAATTATTTTTTGTCCCAGGTCACAATATACATAAACATGTGTTCATTGCAGTTCTTAAGAAACATTTATCTCAGTTAAACATGTTATATGAACAAACTTTTCTTACACTGGATGGGCCTAATATTTAATCATTTATTTGTTTTCTTTTAGTTCCTAATCAGTTACTAATTATTTGCCTGCCCGTGCTCTACCTTATGCCCTTTCTTGTTTTCTTTGGGGTCCTCCTGGGCTCCTTGCCGATGACTCTTGTTGGGTCGGGTGGGGGCTGCGTTCATTGAACGCCGCCTTTCCTTGTCGATCTTGTTTATCATAATTCCAAAAGTCTTTGCAATACAAGATTATATTTCTGCGCATTTTAACTTAAACTATGTGTTTTCCACAACAACGCACTCAAAACTGATATTAAATGTAATTTTATTTCCCAAATAAAGGAAAAAAATGAGAAAAAGAAAGTTTATTAAACCACGGATTTATATTACAAATCCGTGATTAAACTTAACAATTGCATGTTTTTCTTCATAGTTCAAACATATTTATTAAATGTTGTTTATCATTAGTTAGAAGTTATAAGTTTTTAAAAACTATTTTACAATTTTGATTTGCTTTGAAAACTTAATAAATTGAATCTTATGGTTTCGGAGTTCTCTACAGTTACTTTGTTGCACTGTCAGGGAAAATCTTATTAAAAGTCTTTTCAAAATAATTTCCTCTGAAACTGGAGAGTATTGTATTCATTATTTGTTTATTCAAAAAGCTTGTATCGGTATATTCTCATCATAATATAATACATTTATTTTTATGAATTTTTTGGCCATTACAAATATTCATTTATTGCTTTAAGAAACCATACAGCAGACACTTAATTATATATACAGATTCAGGCCTATATTTTTGTTTCAGATAAATCTCAAACTTAAATATAGATTTACAATACCACTAGAAACAGTAAGGTAAGTAGGAGAAAAATCATATCGACCATTGATGTGCAATTATTATTTTTACAATTTATTTCACATAACCAGTTTTGTTTTATTTTCCCGTTAACATTTTTCTCATGGATATCACACGAGTTGGATGGATGATTGGTAAAATCTATTCGTGACCGACGATTAGTAAATGTTTTAGATGATCCATGTGAATGTAAACTTCCGGTTAATCCAGAAATGCAAAAAATAATTAAATATTCTAATTTAGTGAATTGTGATGCATTAAGTGTAGAATAAATTTAAATTTAATAAGAGATAGTGGCTGTTGGTATTATTGGAATCATTTTCTAATAACAAACACTGTACCAGGTAAGAAATTATTTAAAGATAGATGCAAATTGTGTTTGATTTGGAAGAAATAGATTCTAGATCATTAATTTATACAATGAAGTTTTAATAAAGAATAAAAGCCATTGTATTTTGTATCTTTGTTTCATATTTCTAAAATATTTGAAAAAATTACTATTCTGTATGATTCTGTTTGCTGGATGTCTAGTAATTTCCGGCCCCAAATCGCATTATTTGTTTACCAATAAAAGTTAAATAAGAATCTGTCAATCTCACATGTATCAGTGCTATACACTGGGCATGTAAAAGAACCAAGGGGTCTTTTCAATAAGAGCTAGGGACTGGTTCCGGATTCCCTTGTATCTCATAGCTGTCTCTTAAAAATGTATACAATGTATACCTGCTTAGAGTGATCATAAACGATTTTAAAGCAGTATGATGTAGAACTAGAACTAGAGAGGGAGCATTTTTGAAATTACCATGTCCTGGAATGAAAGGAATATCCAAACACCTTAAAACCTGTTCTGTATTTTCATCTTACAGTGAAGAATTATATTTCATTCATTTATAAGCAATGATGGAAATTCCTCTTTTTTAAAAAAAACAACCTTTTAGTTTGTAATCATTATCCGAGTAATTTGGGATTCAACCATTCCACAACTTGAAGCTGGAGACTCCCAAAGAGTTTTCAACATCTTCTTTAATCCTAGTACTATTATGGTTATATTTTTAGCTGTAATTGTTCTGGAATTCTATTCATTAAACACATTAATATCAGGGGATAAATGGGAAATCTGTCACCTGCCATCGTTGGAGGTCTGTAAAACAAGAATTACAAAATAGAACATGTCCTATCCCAGTCTGTAAAATGATGTTTAAAAATTGTTGTCATTTGGGCAAGAAAATCTGGTTATCGGAAGTAAAAACTGATTGCCAGAATATTTTCATCAGAACATATTTAAGCAATTATTGATCAAATCTGCAAACTTATCTTCAGTGAGAAACAGTCATAAATGTAAGCAAACTAATTGTATTTGATATCTTGCATTTTATCACTATCTGTTGACATTTTGATGAATACTTTCTGCAAATTTTTACTTGTCCATCGGGCTAGTAAACTTTTAAAAATTGGTTGTCCGGACCGAAAAATGATTGTCACAGGCAAAAGGACAACTGCTAATTTCGCAAAATGCTATCCTGTAAATGTAGTATTAAGGTTTATGAATTCAGAATGTTGTAGCCTTCACACAATGAGATTTGCTTATAAGTACATTAAATTTTAAATGGTGTTGACAGTTGTACTAATAAATCCTACCATCTGTTGAGGCCTTTAGATACCTGGCCACCATTACCATGTTTCGATGTTGCTTTTTCACTTTACATTTTTATTAGAATAAAAGCAGGAAATGTAACACCTTGTTTGCTTATATTAAACATTTGATAGTAGTATATTGGATCTTTTTTATTTTGAATATAAATCAGTACCAGTAAGCTATGTAACTGTGATTTATCAAAGAAGTAGAAATTTCCAACCTTTCCATGGGTTCTCTATGATGCATTGATGATCTGACGTCTTGGTATAATTTAGGGTGTCAAAGTTAGAGAAAATTCTAACCGTTTGAAAGACGACGTAATAGCCGTGTTAAACGTTTAACCGGCCGTACATATAAAATCCTTAGGTTTCATCTTTAACTTTGTTCTTTAGACTTTATGACAAGATATATGCCATTTTGTTCATATTTTGTTGTTCTCAAAATGATTTCAATACATATCCGAATATGGATTAACTACATGTATTTTCCACTAGGGTCGTACTGTATTTGATCAGATTGGAAAAGTATATTGTTGAGTACAACTAAAATACAAACAATTATCATATCTTGTCATAAAAAACTAAGTCAATATTTAGAATCAATTTAAAACTTTTCTGCCCCTAGTCAAATACTAACCTCGGTTACTGGTTATTAATTTTCTAACCGTTTTTTTAGCTAAAAACTGACCTTACCCCTTCAAACGGCTAATCATGACACCCCTAGTATAATTATGTACCTATGCTTATTACTGCTGGACACATAGATTTCTGTACATGCTAAATTTTGCCTGAGTATGTATTAATAATTGATAGTAAACAAACATAAAAACATATGCCCGCAAATGATAACACATCGTAGGCTGTCAATTAGATATCATTAAGTCATTAAAGCTTATGGTAATTAGGTTGGCACTTTTTGACTGTACACAAATTCTGGTGCCCCACAGCACTCATAGGTGACACCAAAATTAGTTTGTGTTTGCTGCAGGTTAAGATAATTTGCCAACACAGTACATGCATTTGAAACTAAGAATATTACTGTTGATTGGTAATCCATGATTATCAATGGCAATTGTTGAAAGAGGTTGTCAACTTAAAAAGGTTCGCTAATTGGTTTTGTAAAAATTATACTCCAGCTAAAAATTGTTCACTTCTGAGAGGAGATATTGCCCATTCAAAATATCTCAACACATAGTTCAATTAGTTGGTCTAGAATCTTTCCTTGTTTCTTACCCTTTTCAAAGGAAAAAAAAACAATTATTTCATAGTTCAAAATATTTCTATTTAAAATTGATACATATTTTCATATGAGTCTGCATATTATTTTGAAAAAAACATATTTTACCTCTTTTAACTTATTATCAAATTGTTTCAATATAAACAGTCAATGAATTTAAGATTTTGAATCTACTAGCTCAAATTCCAGTTTTGAATTTAATCTACTATATATATAACTAAATTTTCATAAAATTTTCACTGGCCCGAACTAATTTTCACTTGGCCTTGGGCCACCGGTAAATTAGATGACTGTATTAAGTAGGACATACTTCAATGTGGGTTTGATTATAAGCTAAGGGAAAAGCCAAAATACAACAAATAGTGCATTCAGTTCTGCATAGGGTCATTTTTATAGTAAAAGGTATTTTAATTTTTACAGTATAACAATTTACTGTTACAGCATAATAATTTAACAGTATATGTTATTAATTTATTAATTAACAACTTTTGCTTGATGAATTAGATGTTTATATGAGTGATCTACAAACCCACAAGGCACATGTATATTTACATTTTCATCTGCACTCTTTAAAACAAGGCTCAGGTGTGGGATTCCAGATGATGTTGTATCCTGTAGAGAACACCAGTAAAACACAGATGAAAAATTAGCTATGTCACTTAAATAATGACAAAAAAATGAAAAATGGGAATGGGTGCCCAACCCCCTTTTGTTCGAGACCGGGTAGGCTGTCTCTAAGTTCACAAAGTCATTGAGGGCATAGGTACTCGGCTAATTTTTCTGGTCAGTAATGTTGCAAAATATCATATTAATTTACTCAGAAATAAATTGAAAATTGTATTTTTTTTTTGTGCTACATGTATTCTTATCCCAATTTGCTGCAGTTTTGGGACATTTTTCTAATTAGAATTACTATTGTGGAAAAGAAGAGTGAGCAGTTATCTGATTTTTTTCCTCACAAGTTATTGATCAAGACCTACATCAAAGGGAACGTAAATCTTGAGAAAATATTTCCAGTCTTGTCATGTCAAAAAAACTCAGTGGACTTCCTTTAAATGTAAATACTTTTTATGCAGCATATGCAATGGGGTGACATAATTATATAGCAATTCACCTCTGTGTGTGCACAGGTGTTTTTATGGGTCTGTTACAAAAATGTATTTTTTACATATATATAGATTTATATACATGTAGTGAACATAAAAAATCTTTAAAACTATATGTCATATTTCAACTGAACTTGTCAGGATTGTTCCTAATGAGATAGTGAAGGGCTTTAAAACTTGTTGAAAAAAATTTGACTCCATACAGAAATATGGTTGCCATGGCAACCAAATGGAATAACTGGAAGAATCTTAAAAAATTAACTTCTAGATACACAAGAGCTCGAGCATAGATATTTTGCATATGGTATTGTCTGGTTGACCTCTATTGAAGATTATTCAAATTATAGCCCTGGGGTCAAAATTGGCCCTGTGACAGAGGTCATGTATTATCCTTATAAAAGGTAAAGGTAAAGATCTTGTTTAATGAAGTGTCACCTCTATTGAAAGGGCCAGCCATTTCTGACTTATGAGACACCTTCTGCTTGCATACCATGTACCTCCCAACTCCTACCACTATGCCAAGGGCTTCCACTATGTTTTAAAATTTGGAAGTCAGATACTGCAAAATCTCTGATATTGGAAGTCACATTATAGAGATAAAGAAGGAAAAGTATTAGATTTTGGAAGTCACAACCCAAAATCAGGGAGTAAATGACTCCAAAACTCCCATCAATGGAAGCCCTGTATAATGCCAGGTGCCAGACAGATAGAAATCGGTAACCATAATTTTAAGCTCGACTATTCGATAAGAATAAGTAGAGCTATTGCAGTCACCCGAGCGTCAGCGTCAGTGTCGGCGTCTGCGTTGGCTTAACCACTTATGTTAAAGTTTTTGTAATAGTTTGAATATTTTCAAAGTCCATTGACATATGGCTTTGAAACTTTTCACACTTGTTCACCATCATGACCCAAACCTGTAGACAGGAGGAGGTAACTCTATCAAGCATTTTGACAGAATTATGGCCCTTTTTCGATTTAGAATTTATGTTAAAGTTTTTGTAATAGTTCAAATATTTTCAAAGTCCATTGACATATGGCTTTGAAACTTTGCACACTTGTTCACCATCATAACCCCAACTTGTAGACAGGAGGAGGTAACTCTATCAGGCATTTTGACAGAATTATGCCCCTTTTTCGACTTATAATTTATGTTAAAGTTTTTGTAATACCTCAAATATTTTCAAAGTTCATTGACATATGGCTTTGAAACTTTGCACACTGTCTTGTTCACCATCATTACCCCAACCTGTAAACAGGAGGAGGTAACTGTATCAAGCATTTTTTTTTACTATCAAGCACTAAGAATAGTTGAGCGTTGCTGTCCTACCGACAGCTCTTGTTAATTACCTCGCGGCTCACAAAGCGG